CCACATGACTTTTTTCCAATGCTCGACTGTCCAATCCTTGTGTTCCTGTGCGAATTGAAGACTTTATCTTGGTAACTGCAGACAGCAAAGGTGTTTGAACAGGCCTTCGGCTTCCATATCCTATACGATGCAGTGTACGGCTAATTTGCCTACAAACATCAGGTGGTCATAATAATCCGGCCACTCAGTGTATATTCCTGCACTATTTCCACATTTCTTATTGGACCTTTATAATGTATTTAAAAATCCGTTAGAGCTATTCAACCTCCAGAGCTTTCCTGGCTATTCTTGTCTTTTTTTTTTAAATTAACTTTATTGAGTCATAATTCACAGAGTATAATTCACCCTTTAACATGCATAAATCAATAGATTTAGTGTATAGACAGAAATGTGCAACCATCACCGCAGTCCATTTTTTTAAAATATATATTTTATTGATTTTTTTACAGAAAGGAAGGAAGAGGGATAGAGAGTTAGATGAGAGAGAAATACCGATCAGCTGCCTCCTGCACACCTCCTACTGGGGATATGCCCACAACCAAGGTACATGCCCTTGACCAGAATTGAACCTGGGACCTTTCAGTCTGCAGGCTGATGCTCTATCCACTGAGCCAAACTGGTCAGGGCCACCGCAGTCCATTTTAGAACATTTCACCACCTCAGAAACAAACGCCATGCCCTTGAGCTTAATCCCCTTTCCCTCTGACTCCCATAGTCCCAACAACCGCGAATCTACTGTCTCTATAGATTGCTTATTCTTGCCATTTTATAATAAAAGTAAGCATAAAACATGTGATCTTTTGGGGCTGGATTATTTTCCTTAGTATAGTGGTTTCCTGGTTCATCCATGTGTCAGTACTTCATCCCTTTTTATGGCTGAAAAAATGTTCTATTATATAAACCTATTAGATTCGTTTATCCACTCATCAGTGGGCATTTGGGTTGTTTCCACCCGGTAGTTATTGCAAGTAATGCTGCTGTGAATATTCATGTCCAGGTTTCTGCCTGAGCCCCTGTTTTAATGCTTTTGGGCACACACTGAGGAGTAGAATTGCTCACATGGGAGTTCTGTCTACCTCACCGGGAACTTTCCAAACTGTTCTCCACAGCAACCGCACCATTTTACATTTCCACCGGCAATGCACGAGGACTCCACGTCCTGGCCAAGACTGGTTATTTTCGGTTGTTTTTGTTTTGTTTTGTTTTGTTTTGTTTTCATTTCCAGCCAGTCTAGTGGGTGTGAAGTGATATCTCCGTGTGGTTTTATTTGGGTTTCCCTGCTGACTAATGATGTTGAGCGCACGTTGTGTGTGCGTGTGCTTATCGGCCATTTGTATGTCTTCTTTGGAGAAATATCTATGCAAGTTTTTGTGCTCCTTTAAAAAGTGGGCTCCTTCCACCTGGACTGGGGGCTTTCACTGCCATGGCATCCCTGGGGACGATGGCATTTTCTCCTCCCTGCTGTCCCCTCGTTTCTGGAGCCCCAGCACGGGACCCGGATCTAGGAATTAAAGAGGAATTTGCTGTGCGGCTGGATTTTCTTACTGCTTGCTCTTCTTTAGTTATTTCTGTGACTACTTCATGTCTAACGCATGTAAATCTTTCCCAAGTTTATCTGAAAGGAGAAAAGAAGAATGAGAAGAGGGGAGAGCTTGTGGGAAATAAAACAGGCACAGGGTGAAAAGGCCAGCAGATGCCCCGAGAATGTTCTGGAACCCACCAGGGAAGGGGAGAGCAAAACCGGAAAAGCTCAGTCAGATGACGTGAGCCCCGAAGCCAGGCAATGGTCAAGGACCCGAGGGGACGAGGTCAGGCAATGGTCACAGACCTGAGGGGATGAGGCTGGGGCTCACACACTTGATGGAGAAGCAGCAGAGACGGAACTCCTCCGCCTTCTACCCATTTCCCCACCTGCTGGACAGACCGGGCAGGAGGGGCCTGATTCACCCAAGAACCTCCGGAAACAGCTGACGAAGTGGTCACTGTTGCTCTCCAATGTCCAGGGGGAATGTCCTGAGGGAAGGTCTCTAAGCCTTGCCGTGCGCAGGTCCTATTTGACTGGGTGATGGAAACTGGGTAACACAGCCCTGGACAGCCTTTCTGCTGCCTTTCCCAGGAGGCATGTGGAAGTGGAGGGGGCTGGTCCCGGCAGGACAAGGAGCGACTGTGGACTCTGTACCAATGTGGGCAAGCAAGAGCAGAGCAACTAGTTAAGAAACGAGAACTACCCATTTTACATAAAATCAGTTATGCCACGACCTTACAGGATAATAAAGGATTCACTGTAGAGTCACACTAGACCTTGATTGAGCAGTAAACACTTTAATATTCATAGTCACGGGAATATAATAAAGGCTAATTTGCAAATCAACCAAATTGTGAAATGACTGGTTGCTATGATGCGCAGTGACCACCAGGGGGCAGATGCTCAATGCAGGAGCTGCCCCTGGTGGTCCGTGCACTTCCACAGGGGGAGCTCCGCTCAGCAAGAAGCCAGGCTCAAAGCTGGCGAGTGCAGCAGTGGTGGTGGGAGCCTCTCCTGCCTCCCCAGCAGCCCTAAGGATGTCTGACTGCGGTCTTAGGCCCGCTCCCTAAGCCATCAGTTGGACATCTCCTGAGGGCTCCCAGACTCAGGCCAGGCTGAGGGGACCCCTTCCCCCGAGTGGACGAACTTTGTACACCGGGCCTCTATTATGGACATAATGGTTAGGAAAGGCGTGCTCTCTGCATATATTAATATTTGGAATGTGCCACTTTATAACATACCAGATGAGAACTGGGTAAAAGTATTTATCTACCAGAAGGCACTCAATAATTTACATTTTTCCTAACTGACACTGTTGTGGACCAACATTTGTGAGAATAAGACCACCAACTCCAATTAGGTCTTAAATAGCAAGCGAGGGTTTATTGAGGTGGCCAGCGGCTGCCACAGGCTTTCTCCTGTAACAGCCCCGAGCTTGGTGCTCGGCAAGCTTTTATTCCCAGAAACCACAAACGTCCTTGATTTATAGTTACAAGGGTCTAATCAGGATGTCTGGGAGTGGGAAACTTGGAGCTATGCCTGGTTACCTATATCCTTGACCCCATCCTTGTTAAAATGTTTTACTGGCATTCAATTCATCACAACATTATTTATGTTGGAAGACAAGGTCACATGGCTTTGGTTTCTGCCCCTTCAATCCATTTTACCACACTATGGTAATTTCAAAATCAGTCAGACTCTTCAAAGTCTTGTAAAGAAGAATGTTTATTCTGCTGTATTTCTAGAAGTTGAACTTTTATCGCTTCTCGGCCTTTTGGCTAAGATCAAGTGTAGAAGTTGAACTTTAAAGAACTTTCAAAGCTCTTTAAGCTTTAAAGTTCTTTTTGATAGATTTGCATTGTTTGCTTAACTATCTATAATGTTTGAGATTTATATAAGTTCCAGGTGAACCAATATTTAAAAAACAGAGCAATGCAAACATTTTTTATAATTGGGATACTTGTTTTCTTTGTTGTTGAGTTGTAAGAGTTCTTTATTTTCCTGACTATTCTTGCATCTGCATTTCCCCCCATTTGAATCTTAGTATTCCCTCACTGAGAACAGCTCGCACATTTTATACAGCTTAAAAGCAAAAAAACAAACCTCGGCCTGAGTCCAGTCCATTTGGTTCTGTAGATGAATCCTCCCCAAACATCTCCCCTTTCAATGCCCCGAAAAGATATGGCTACGAATATCGTGCAGCTGATGTTACCCTCCTGGTGTGCGTGAAGAGGAGTGGGTCCAGCGAGTCCTCTGTGGGCGTGGGGATGGGAGTGGTGCATTACTCTCTGGCCTGGTTTACTTAACTTGGCGCTGACTCAGAGATTAGAGCTGTAGGGCTCTTTCCAAGATCAGCGTCCCATGCTGGCTGGCCTGAGGTGATTATTGCAACGTCCCAGGGACCCGTGCCCCCTCCTGGTTCAGAACCTAACCCGACTGCACTCCCAGCGTGGGGATTTGACCCCAGATTGGCTCAACCTGAAATCCCCTGCCCTAAAAAAGAGAGAGAGAGAGAGAGAGAGAGAGAGAGAGAGAGAGCGCGCCAAGCATTCCTTCTCCCAGTTGCTTAATCCTTGGGGTACCAGCAAGAGAAGCAAGCACTTCTTAGATCAATATTTTCAAGGCTTCTCTGATGCAAGTCTCTGCCTGGGGCTGGAGCTTCAGTTGTTTCTCCAGCTTCTCTCCCTCCAGGGCGGGTGTGAACTTGAACCCTGGTAATGAGCGGCCCCTGGGGAATGTGTATATGTGTGACTGTGGTGGGGGGCGGGCGGGGAAGGATAAAGTCCCACTGGACACCTGGGGTGCTTGTTCTTTACAGCTGAGTTTCTCAACCTTTCTTTTGTCATTATTGCCCTCATGTAAGGAACAGTTTCCGCCCTTAATTACCCCTCTCCTCAGAGGCTGTAACGTCACTGACATACTATCCACCTAGTCATGGACTGTATGTATACCTGTGCTCCATACATAAGAAGAATAAAAACTGTTGGCCCCGCGGGGACCATGGGGTTCCGCACCCATGCTTTACAGTAGTTCACATCTGGCCCTCTGGGCAGCCTCTGCCCAGGACAGCAGAACAGCCCTCGCTGGTTTGGCTCAGTGGACAGAGCCTGGGCCTGTGGAAGTAAGGTTCCTGGTTCCATTCTGGTCAAGGGCACATGCCCAGGTTTCCGGCTCCATCCCCAGTAGGGGGAGTGCAGGAAGCAGCTAATCAATGTTTCTCATCATTGATGCTTCTATCTTTCTCTCCCTCTCCCCTCCTTTCTCTGAAATAAAAAACATATTAACAAAACAAAAAT